TGGGCGGGGGGGGGGGGGGCAAAATATCCTAAATTATAAATATTTAAAGTAAATCAATGTTTAAAAAGCACTGTGCTGGCTAACATCTTGCAGGCCAAACAAACAACAACAAACCCACATCTGAGGGCCTCGCTCGCCTTTGCAGTCTGCTTTACATGGGGTTAAATGCAGGAAACTCTGAAATAGGAAGTTAGAAGAGAAAGCCGACAAAAATTTGGATGTTGGTGGAATATTTGTTCTTTGAAAAATGAGCTTTAGTAAGAATAATTTTCTCGGTGGAGGTGGGAGATGGAGGGGGTGGGATGGGAATGGGCACTCAAGCAGTGGCCTTTTTGGATCAGATCCTCTTAATTTCTCCTTTGGAGTAGTATTGGTCTTGGGCCGCAGGAATCTAATTAACAGCTCAAAGGGAGCAATCAATTTATAATTGTGTGAAGTACGAATTCCTTTGTGCACAAAACAAATTACAGTATTTGCAAATTTGTAAATAATGCAGTACTTTCCCTGAAATCCAAAGGCTTTGGGTGCTCCCAGGGGAAAGAAAAAGAAGTCTGAGGAGGCAAGACGTTAGAAAATGACCTATTGTCTCAAGAAATGGAATTTAAAAAATATCTTTAGTAATTGATTTTTTTCAATCGAATCCTTATTTAGGAACTATAAAGGGGCCCGTTCTTAGGTCAGTAGAATGAGAATATCTAGAGAAGTAAACAGTTTCAAGTCCAAAAGTCACAGCACGTTACTAACAGGGTATCTTCTTTCAAAAGCGCCGAGCATAAAAACGTGCCTCAGCCCTCCCTCCCTACACCCTTGGTTTGTGGTAGGAAGTTTCATTTTATAAAAGAGATAGCAAGTCCCAGTTATGATCATTATGTACAATGTCAGAGAAGGAATTGGTAACAGATAAGGACACGAATCCAATCTCTCTGCTTTGCAACAATAGTTGTTTTGAGCCATTCAATTCACAAATATGTATTGGGATCCTTTTATAAGTTCATGTAGCTGTTTAATATTAGAGATTCAAAAGAGATGTTCTAGAAGACCTTATGGTGTACTGAGGAAAGTCAGAGTGAAAACTCCTTATTTTCTCCAAGATTTTTTAAGCACTTAAAGTTGGTTGAGCTAGGAGTTGGGAGTGGATAAGTGAATGGAGTCCATCCCTGCCCTTAAGGGGTTCACCAGTCTAATGAGAACATAGAATTTGAAACAATCATTTCAGTATTGAGCTTGATGCTAAGGAAGAGCTATAGGAAAGCACTTTGATGCTTTGGCAAGTGCTTATTTCTACCGGGAGATCTTTCAAAGAGAAAGAGATGGAGGGCATTCGAAGTAGAGGTAAGTGGACTATTGACTGGCCTTCTATAGGAGGATGACAGATCAGATTTGTGCTTTCAAATGATTCTCTCCCCTGTCCTCTTATTCACTGTGAGTTGGTTGCAAATTGGTTAAACCTTTCCACAAAATCTTTTAGCAAATTGCATCAAAAGCCTTAAAACATATTCATATCCTTTAGGTTAGAAATTCCATATCTAGGAATAAAAGATGCTGCCAGAAACTTACATATGAGGAAGCTTATCAGAGCATTACTTATAATCATGAGAAACTGGAAACAACCTACATGTTCCATAGTGGAGTAATGGTTAAATAATTTACGGTACATCCAAGCCATGTGATTTTATGCACAACTAGAAAAAAAAAAGTCACACTTAAAAAAAAATAGTTCAAAACAAGCAAAAACTATTTTTAAATGATGTAAAATGTTTAATGAAGTGTCATTCTCGTTTTGTAATTAAAAAATCAGTAAGTAGTGCTCCACATTGGTTGTTAATTTTCACCCAGATCTTACTTTCCTAAAGTTCTTTCTTGTTTTAGATCAACCAGACAACAAAAGGGGCGGAGTTTTTCTTTGCTCTGTACAAAGTTCAAAGAATGGGCTTTTGTTTCCTTCCCTCTTAACTAACAATGCGATCCAGGATTTGCAAGTCACTTATTCTCTAAGTTACAGTCTCCTTCTGGTATCCAGGCTAGCTGGGAAAGAAAGGGAGGTCAGGTAAGGAATGGAAGAGAAAGGAAGGGTCCAGAAGTTGAACATTACCGTGAGAGGGGAGAAGGATGATGGGACTGAGGGTGTGAGAACCAGAAGAAAGAGTGGTCATTGTGTATTGAGAATGAGTTACTGGATTGGAGATTTCAGGGGTGGGACACAGACACATATATATATCGTGGTTCAATAGAAGAAATGTTACAGTGCAGTACATGGTTGACTGCCAAATAAATGACAGTATAGACAATGTTATAACAGTTTGGAGGATTTGGTGGAGAGGGCCATCATTTGGTCACATACATGTATATGACCATGGATCAATGAAGAGATTCCTCTAAAACCTCCTTTTAGCAATTTTTGTTAGACGGTATAACTGTATAGGGCTGGCCTCCCTCTTGAGAGATTTAGTTATGGAAGAACTTAAAGGACTGCACTGTGAAAGAATTTTAGCTATTAAATAGAAAGAAAGGATATAGCAAGTATATGATAGAAAATAATTTGAAGTTAAAATACTGTTTAAGAAAACTCAGTCTCTGCACAAAAATTCACTTCATCCTTCAATTTCTCCTTTCCTTTAAAATGTATTCACATAAAATCTGCTTTACAAGCCAGGAATATAACTCAAGATATTTACCATTAAATGGGGACACCTATGTGTTTCAGTTCTTAGGACAACTGAGACTTCCTTTCTCCCTGGATTTCTTGGTTCTCTGCGTTGAAGTGTACGTAGTAATTTATCCCTTTGCTGAATCTTCTTGCTTTTACAGTTTCTTCTAACTGCATGTTATACACCTTCCCCATGCCATTGCTATTCTAGGCTCTATAAATCTGCACAGCACCAAGAGAACTTTAGCTATCACTAGTTAAATGGATCAACACATTTACCCAACATAACTTAGACCCTTTGGGGGTTTTCCAGTCTATTTTAATCTATTTAAACCTGACACTGGCAGATTTCCATTTCCTTTGTTCCTTGTGTAGACTTGGTTTATGCCTGTTGGTCTCTAAAAGGGACAGAGAGGAGGCAGCTGTCGAAAAATGAGGAGATTGGCAGTTTTAACCACACAATTTGGTCTAATAGCTTTGATATGCTAAACTTGCTAGCTCCTCCAAGTGTACCTTTCTGATTTTGCATCACAACACTACACTGAATCCCTAAGGAAACCAGGGTAGTTTTTTAAAAAGAAAAGGAAGAAAAGAAAGAAATGCAAACCAGTGAAACCGTTCTTTTAAACCATCTCCACAGATTCATTCTGCTAACTGCAGGCCTTCACAAATCCTCGTACACCAGAGACCTTTAAAAAAAGAGAAGCAGAGAATACCGATCGTGTTCTCAACAGCGAAAACAGGTGATGTCATAACGCACAGTCCTATGTGGTCCCTGCCAAGGCCGGGTGGGGAGCTGGGGCGCCAGTGCGCACGGAGCTCCGCGCCAGTAGGCAGAGCAAGTTATCTCCGGGGTCCGGAGGACACCGGTGAGGACCAGGCACCAATCAGGTTCTCGCTCGGAGCCTGCCTTTGTTCTCACTGGGGAGCAGGTTTCGGGGCGTCTCGCGTCGGGAACCAGCATTCGACTAGCATGCGCGCTGCTAGCTCCTCGGGAGACCTCGCTCCCCCACTCGCCTGTCCCCCACACCCTGCCAGCCTGAGCTTTCCCCAATTACATCTGCCTTCTCTCCCCAGAGCGTGAACGCCAAAATCCTAAATCCATTTTTAGCTTCGGAAGAGGCAGGTCCAGCCCAACAGTTTTAAATGGCAATTTGTTCTCTGAACCTTCGCTCCCAGGCAGAGCTCCATGCTCTGCGTTTATCTAACCAGCTACCTCAGAAGGACTTTTGGGTGGAAGACAACCCTGTCTCTTTGGCCTTTTCGTGTTGGACAAATAAAGGAATTCTCGTTGCTGAGAGACTGCGAGAAGGGGCTTTAGATGGAGGAGGAAACCACTCACCCACAGGTTTTGTGTCTTTTCTTCCCTCTAACTCGATTATTGGTGCAAATATACTTAAACATCTATCCCCTACCCGCTGCCGAAGCCTCAGGTAACTGGTCTTTTGCAAAACGGGGCTCACGATAAACGATGCATAAAGTTCTTTGAGATCCTTGGATGCAAAGTGCTACGTGATTGCAGTCTCCTTTACAGCTAAGATTTTGGTTAAGAGAAAGCCTAACCACTGCCCTGACGGTAAGAACGTTTTAGTTCCCCCCACCCCCACCCTCTTTCTCAAGAAATCAGGAAATATTTAGCTCAGTCTTAGACCCACTAGCGAGCTCTAGCTCCCAGTTATTTACCTCATTCCCTCACCATTTCTGCAGAGACCTAGAGCAGGGGCTGTGCCTTGTCTTAGGGGAGGGGCTGGACTTCACGGGGTTATTTGCATATGACACACCCTCTTCCTCCTATTGGTGGAGCAGCACACTGTATTCCCACCCACCCCACTACCTACCTAACCCGCCATCTCCCTTCAGTTCGGAGCCTCGGAGACAAACTTAACTTGCCCAGAGATTCAAGGCGTCTTCGGCCTCTCTGATTGGCCGGTGCAGCTCCCAGCCGGGCTCTAGTTGTTCATTGGCTGTGGGCTAGCGCCTGGGGGGCGTGGCTGGAGCGGTCCGATTGGCGGGAGGGGGCGGTGCCCGAGAGTGGAGGTGGTGAAGGTGGTGGGGAGGCGGGGGCGGGGCCGCACTGAGGCGCTGCTGCTGCTGCGGCGGCGGCGGCGGCGGCGGCGGCGGCGGCGGCGGCGGCGGGCGGGCGGGCGGTGCAAAACGTACCTGTATTGTTCGCTAGTCTGGGCAGCGCAGGGCACGACGCGCGGCTCAGCGCTCCACAGCCTCGCGGGTCTGGAGGATGGGGGCGGGTGGAACAACGGGCCGGTGAGGAGCAGCCGCCACCGTCTCCGCCGTCGCTTCGGTAGCCGCCGCGGTGGTCGCTTCGGGCAGCCGTTCGCTCTCGGGGCGTCGCCTCCCATCCCGACATCCCGCCCGGAGGACGCTGAGGCTGAAGCGCGGCCGGCGGCTGAGGGACTGTCCGGCCCCTCAGCTGCGCGGGCGGCCGCAGTGACAGCACGGCCCCAGCCCGCCGCCCGCCCTCGCCCTCGCCCTCGCCCTCGGTGCCCGCAGCCACGATGAACCGGGGCAGCAGCAGCCCGTCGGCCGCCGCCAACTACCTGCTCTGTACCAACTGCCGGAAAGTACTGCGGAAGGTACGGGCTCGGCCTGGGGTCCGGCCCGAAAAGGGCGCTTCCTGCCGGCCGCGGCTCGGGCTGCTCGGCCCCGGGGCGCACTCTTGGAGCAAGGCTCAAAGGGATCCCGGGGCACCTTCCCTACGCCGAGACCCAAAAAGTGGGCATGGGTTGAGAGTGGAGGGTTTAGTCTGCTGCTGCTTTTGATGTCTGCCGGGACAGACGCTAGTCCCCAGGGGTTGGGGATTTGGGGGCGCGGGGGGGGGCGGGGGGGCCTGTGGTCTGTTCCTCCGTTCACCTCCTTACCTTGCCACCCCCGGCCTGCTCCCAGGGCGGAGGGAGGGACGGACCTGTTCGATCCTCCTCCCAGTGCGCTTGATGGAGGTCGGTGTGAAATCAGAACTGCTTGGTCTGGTCCAGAGCAACCTGGCTACCTCTTTGCTGTGCCTAACTCTTGCGGGTGTTGTTTTTGTTTATTCGGTTGCTTCTGCCTTCTTTGCACGCTTTCCCCGAACACTCCCTTTTTACATTCTTTGGATGGTCGTCTTGTGGCTGCAGATCGATCCTGAAAGGAACTGGTAAAGCAGCTTGAACTTTATGCCCATGGGAAATGCTATTCGACGTTACAGTTTCTCAAGCTGGGGTTGGGGGAGGTGGAGACTGAGGTGGACGTGAGTTATCCCTTTTTAGCACTTACTCATCCCCAGCCCCCCGGTGTTGCTCCAGAAAAATCAGACGCACAATCAGCTTATTGCTTCCCAGAGTGACTGATAGAAAGTTTACTCCAGTATTGTTTAGCTTACTTGGCTTAGTCGCTTCGTTAAGGGGGGTGGGGTGAGGGGGCTGTGAAAAGATGTCGTTTTAGACCGAGAAAAGCTTTTAATCAGACTTTAACAGCCGCCACTGGGTAATATTATAATCAGTTTATTCTTCTCGAGACTCTATTTTTACATTTCATTAAGTGGAAACAGTAGTTGAGGTGCTTCTGTTTGTCCAGTACAAATGAATTAAAATTGCTGAGCTGTGCAAATGCGTCGGGACTGAAAGACTAAGATGAATACGGCACCGTTTTTAGTCAGTTTCTCTAAATACAGTTCAATTGGGATTGTTCTTTATATATTAAAAAAAAAGAAAGAAAGAAAGAAAGCATGTAAGTAAGCAAGCTCAAATATTTGCGCTCTTTGTCCAAAAACTGTTTTTCTTCCTCTGTGGGTCAGGCCAAGTGCCAATCAAAGTTGTTTTTCAAGCCTCTTTTCCCTGCAGTAGGGCTGCTGCTTCCCCCCCCCCGCCCCCCCCATTTTATTTGAGAGCACGACGAAAGCAAAGGGGTTGCATATTTGAAGTTAATCAAACAGTGAAATATGCCTTAAATTGTGTTTATCGGATGTTTTTCTTGAAACAGATTTTTATTAAATGTGCATGTTGAGTATGTGCAGTTATTTTTTTCCATAAACTCTGGGATCAAATTACAGTTGATACTTGCTCAGCTCATTGTAGGGCAGCTCGTGAGAAATGTAATGGATCAGAAGCGCAGAGCAGCTTAGTTGAATGTTAACTCTTTCACTTCTGGGCCAGATGGCATCTGAACTTAGCTTTTTAAAAAATGATGATGATTTTCCAACTTTAAAAGTGATGTTATGTCTTTAACATGAAAAAAAAAAGTGTTGTTGAGACATGTTTGATTAAACTAAAGCCTGGTTTAATAAAAAAAACAGCTAATTTTTTTTTAACTGAATAAGGGAAAAACGAGCTTTATTGACTTGGATTTTTTTTAATGGCTCTGGCAATTTGGTGGACTAATTAAATTTTTGGAGGTAGTATTAAGTTTCAAAATCTATTTTTCTTTTGAGAGAACCATGGCTGTGGATCCATGACCCTTTGCTAGCTTTCAAGACATCTTTATATCTTTCTCTTAGCTTTTAAGAAACTATTTCTATTTACCTAGAAGGAACATCCTCATTTCTAGCTATTATTAAAAGACAGAGGTAGTATATGGAAAATGGATATTCACCATTTTCACATCTTATAATTGCTATGCACACCTCTGCTAATTCCCAGTTTTTAGTAACTCCAAGGTATTTAATATTGATTCATGCAGTAGCATGAAATAACTTTAGATGGAAATGGGATTGTTTGAGCCAGTTATGGCATGACTTGGTAGACATTTGTAGCTTTTTAAGAGTGCCTTAAGTGCTCTTAAAAGATATCAAGTGTTTAGCATTTTAAGTTCTTCATCATTCTAAAAATAGCATGTAAGAGTTTTCTAATAAAAAATGGGCTTTTTGATAGAAAGTATATAACTAAGCAAAATTCATCTATAATGCTCAAAATGGGATTCTCTGGATTTATCTTGTGTTTTCCACTTAATAAAGTGTTCAGTAATAACCATGTGAGTCACAGCATTTTGAATTTTAGTTCAGTGTAGTTCATGATGGAAGAATGAAAATCATGCACATCCAGTGTGAATTACTCTTTGCTGTTATAATCCTCATTAATGATGGGGGAAGAGTTACCTTTATTTATGTGGCATGGCACCTTTTTCTCTAAGTGGCTTAATTTGTTGCAATGTATTGAATTTGGGGGGAACTTCAGAAAGAACTGGATTCACCTTCAAAGAAAATAATTTGGTTCAACCCAACATCTGAAAATTTAATTGTATATTGTATGAGAATTACATTTATTCTTAGAAGTACCTTCATAATTTTGATTCAGCGTCTTCCAAAAGAAAAGAGACTTCTTTATGTATTAAATACACCTAATTTGGTAACCTTAGGTCAGTAAAAAGAATGGAGAGGTAAACCACATAGGGAA